TTTCCTTTCTCTACACAAATTACAAGTTGGAATATTTAATGTGTTTCTATTGTTGCACAAGCAGCCTTCTTTTATCAGTATAGATGTCCCCAATGCAAAGATCCCCTTAGGGAGGCAGATTCTCCTGTTGGAGGATTACAAGAAAAACTGTCCCTGTGCTTTTACATTTCAAAGTGATTCAGTTGATTGAGACGGTCAGCAGCACTGACGGTGACTATGGCTATTTAGGCTTTGAGGATGTGATTCCCGGTTATTGAACTGACTGTCTTAATTTGAGGTTGAAAAAGGAAAAGAAAAAAGATGTCCCCTGGCATCCCGGCGGGCGCTTGCCAAATAACATTAAAGCAAAAGGGAATCAATGGAAGCGCGGTATTGATTCAACCCCATCATGGATAACTGACATCCCCTCGCAGCCCATTTAACACAGGAAGGCCTTTGTCAATCGGCTTTTCCGTGTGAATGACAAGCATAATGACGAGATGACTTGCAAGAGCCGGACAAAGCACTCTCCTGGCAAACATAAAGTATAATTGCCTCAACATCAAACAACTTCTGGCCCAGGAATGTAGCTTTCCCTCATTGTTGCAGTCCCCTGTGAGCAGACACAGGAGTCTAATTAGAGATTCATTTGCTTTACCTGCTGACCCCCATCACCAAACATACATTCCTGTTTTTATCACACAGTGAGGACCAATGATTGGGAGCAGTGTAATGGGGTACACCCTTTGTCAAGGGTATATAGGCATCATTTTAAATACCACATTTAATATATGTGAACATGGAAATCACTTAGAACATCTCAAACAATTTTTTCATACATTTTAAACCAGAATTTACTTAGATATTGCAGGTTGTTGACCCCATCAGGATAGAAAAACAAACACACACATGTTGTCGCAGCTACCTCATCCACCATCATTTGAAGGCTTGTGACGGCTACATTTCCTTAAACGTCATCCAACTTCAACTTGTCTGAAAGATGTGTCGACGGCACGTCAAGTAGTTATGGTCGTGCTGCAAGGAAGGCAGGTGGGGTGGGGGGGAATCATCCCCATCAGCATCTGTTCACCCGTCTCACCCATCACTGTCTGAGAAATATCACATCATTAGCAAAGTAAATCCACCCTAAATCATTATGAGCGTACAGGGTTTGAACAAGTAACAGGAAAAACTTTTTTTTTGCATTAAAGTGAATTTAAGCATTCTTTTACATGGAAAAATTGTTTTCTTAAAGGGACAGTGAGTTAGCATGTTACCACCTCCGGTTCCCTCGTCTCAGAGTCAATGGGATTTCTCCATAGGATTTTGGAAAATAGCTGGAAATAAGGTCTGTCACAAATTTAAGAGACGGATCACGTTTTCTTCTACGACATTCAATACATCTGCAGTGACCCCACTGGTGATTTCTGAAGAGTTTACGTGTTTGAAAAACGATGGTTGTTAACAAGTGGCTGAATAGGACTACAGAAGTTGTCGAGGACAGTTTGTTTGCCCCTGTTCTGCTTGAAAGCAAGTACCTGCGCTCTTGCAAACTGTTAAAACAAACACTTCAACTTGTAACATTTTGAATCTGTATTTTTGAATATCTATCAAGTTGGCGTGACGTTGAAGTCGTGCGACCCTGCTGTAGTTAGTTATAGCATAACCTTAGCGTTTTGCTTCTGGCGATTAGATTTATGATTAGAAAATTATAAAAGTAGGGTAGACATGTGGATATTATCCAGATGAACAAAATGTGCATTTATCAAACAGGTTTGTTTTCCACAGACCTTATTTCGAGCTATTTTCCCAAATCCTATGGAGAAATCCCATTGCTTTTTTGTCGAGCGAACCCATGCGGAGCTTACTTCCGGGTAGATACGTAATTCCTGCACCACTCTATATGCAAATAGGGTAAAACATGAAGATATCACCATGATTCTTCCCAAGTTGAATTAAGACAATTATTTGTTGATATTACATGTCTTAAGAAATCTGATGTTTAAATATACAAATAAGGCATTATCTTATTGAATAGGTGCATATTTGCACATCTTTCGAACTGAAATCTGGAAAATGTTATAAAGCCAGGTCCAAAAGTCATGTTTTTTTTTGCTTTATAACTACCAAAGATTTTAAGCGGGATTTTTTGATGGATCAGAAAACAGTGTCAACAGCCATAAAAACGATCTTTGCCATGTTTCTGGGGGGAAAAATGGTTTATAAATTACATTATGAATAATAAATGGCCAAACCCTCTGTAAAAACCTTCAGAATATAGATAGGAATGGAAAAATAAATGTTTGGTGTTTGTAAGTGCTACTGAAGTAAAGATGTATGGCTCAGAAGAAGAGAACAAATCATTTAAAAAACGCCTTTAGAGATATGTATATGTGTAGTTCCATAGATTTGACAAGAAAGGTGAATAGGGAACGGTGGAACTTCCCTGGTAGAAATTGTTTAACCCTTAGATGCATAAGTCTTTTTTGACCCAGTGGGGGGGTTTTCTTGAAGTATCTTTGTAATTAAATGTTTGTATCATTTCATATTCCAGCTATTCCTCAAAAAACATGTTCTGGATATCATGCCATTCACATTTTAAATTTAAATGTTATACATTTAAAAACATTGTAGTTTTTGTATTACTACCCCAAGCTTCCATAAGTGGGTCAACAATGACCCGCATGCATTTTCTATGGAATCCTATGGGAACCTTTGATTCTTATCACCTGTGGCTGTCAGGAATACATTCACTGTAAACCACAAAGACGACATCACAAGTGACACCTCTCAGGAAGATCATTTTACACAGCAAGATCTGATACCTGTCAGTATAATAATAATAATAATACATTATATTTGTATAGGGCTTTTCAAGGACTCAAAATCGCTTTACAATATAAGGGAAGGTTAGGGTGGGGGGTATAGGACTATCAAACTTGATCAACCGGCATGGATTGATGGGGGGTGGGCTATGAGTAGACAGAGGAGAAGAGATGAGTTTTGAAAAGGGACTGGAATACTGTGAGGGTCTCAGAATAGCGGAGATATTTGCATCAATATGTTCAAAACTTTTTTTTCAAAATGTTAAAAAAAAAGTCTAAAATTATAAATAGTGAAAGATTAAATATAAAATATTTCTAGAGTAAACCAAAATATAATACTAAATATTACACAAGTGATGTTTCTTAACCAAAATCACAAAAATGGCATAAAAACACATATTATTCTAATACGGGTTCTTTTTGACCCACTTATGGAAGAGTGTCGGGTCCAGTCACTCGTGCATCTAAGGTTAAATATGCAAATGAAGAAATATCAAATGCTACATTTTTGTGAATTAAGGAGAAATCAGACACGAAAAAACACATTTTCTTTGCATGAGTATGAAAGATCACATTCTAAATTATATAGTGCATGAAAAAAACGTTTATTTTCCCTGTACCGCCTCAACTGAAAAACAATTTACGATGCCTGGAGTTGGCAAAAATGAAGATGCTTTCCTGAACTTGAATCGTATCACCAGAAAAACATGTTCTATGATAATGGGCTGTAATTATACTCTCACTGGTAAATCCAGCAATGTGCATGTCACCATAGGAGAGGTTGATTGGGACCATTTAGTCTTGCAAGCTGAAGGCTTCCAGGCACAGGACAATACAGAAGAGGAGAAGAAGAAAAAAAAACACTGCTGGGAGATAATTAGCCTATTATCAAGCTCCTTTTAACACTTTTAATGTCCCACGTTCACACTGAGTGCAACTATGATGGCAAATAATGAGGATAAATGAGGTCAAATGGTAGATGATCATCATCAGCATCATCACCAGCTTTATCATCCTGCCATCTAAAACTTACTGTACTTACTTAAAGTATTCAGATACTTTACTTGAGTAAAAGTACCAACATATTATTGTCAAAATACTTCATTACAAGTACAAGTCCTGCATTCAAAATATTACTTAAGTATGCACAAGTATTATCAGCTAAATGTACTCAAAGTATACTATTGTAAAATTAATCATTGTGCAGAATAACAGCCTTTATGTGTGTGTGTAATTATATTTATATATACTTATAATAAAATAATTAAATAATTGTACTCTTTTGTTTTGTGACTTAAAGAGTTAGTGCACTATTGAGATGCATTTACTTAAAAGTAGCTACTGCTGTTAAGTAAATGTAGAGTAAAATTACATTATTTCCCTTTTAAAAGAGTAGAAGTATAAAGTAGCATAACTACTAATAATCAAGTAAAGAGATTACACGAGTACTTACACATTTGACTTAAGTGCAGTACTAGAGCCATTGTACTTAGTTACTTCCCACCTGTGTTGTATACACACTGTATATTTCACCCTCATTATGATGCACTTGCTCGCCCTCTTGCTATCTCACTTGTAAAAAAAAAGCAGGGGAAGAAACAGCTCTCTGTGTGGAGCAGCAGCTCAGCCTCATTCATCCAGCAGCTCTCTACGCGGAGGGGGAGGGATAACAGCTCGCAACACTAACGAGAATCCACAGGAAAAACCGCAACTTTAAGGATCGTACGGTACGTTAAACGGATTCTTCACAGGATGGGGACATCTATATTTTGCATTTTGCCATATCCTGGGCACGGACATCACCAGAATGAACTCCTCTGTGTTTAAGGAGCGTGTGCGTGCACGGATGCAGGAGGATCGTCACCCAAAATAAAGTTGAGCGCGAGCAGAGACCAAGTTGGAGTAGCTTGGGAACATCACGGATGAGAGCATTGGGTCGGATCACTGGACTGGAGAGGTTTTATTCGGGGCTCTCACCAAATAGAGTTCACTCATTCCTGAGAGCGCATTTAATCTTTTTTGCAAAATCGGGTAAGTGTGTTATAATAAAGAACGTCGCACTATCTACTATAAATACTGGATTTAAAAGCGATTCTCCAAATGTGCGCGACGCACTACTTTTTTATTCACCACTAAAATGTGTGAACTGTGTGTCCTCTTGCAGTCCGGAGAGGATGAGGTGTCGCTGGGTGAAACATGAGCTGTCAGAGGACCAGTCATAAGCGGCTGTCTCTGCTATGGGGGGGGGCTCTCAGCCTCTGGCTCTGCTGCTGCTGGAGCTCCGGGGCCGCCGCAGGGCCAGGAGACGGTGGCCCCGGGCCCCTGGGCTGGCTGCTGTCCGATAAAGGGCCCTTCCAGCAGGCGGTGGAGTTCACGGAGGCTGCGGAGAGGTACCAGCAGGGCTTCAGCACCCGATACAAGATCTACAGGTGAGGTGGAATGAGTGGGCTTTATGCAGTGGTGCAAAGAAACTAAGTAGGCTACATTTACTCAAGTAGCCTACAATTCTGAGATAATTGTATAGTTTTAGCATTTTATACTATTTCATACTTCAACTACACTATCCGAGGAAATATTGTAACTTGTATACTTACTGTATGTACATTTCATTGACAAGATTAGTTACTTTTCCATTCAAACTATTAACACAAAATATAACCACAATTGAATTATGATCTACTGTATCTTAATAGATGAAGACACATGTGACATGACTGTCACACTGAAAAAATGGATATGTTGACTTACATTAAATGTATTAAGTCAACACATTTCATATTACTGTATTACGTTAGTCGAAAGCAGTAATGTTAAATTCAACCCAATATTTTTTTTATTTAAACTTGATACTATTGCTTTCAACCAAGCTAATACAAATGTGTGTAATCTGTTGACATAATACATTTAATTCAAGTCAATATTTGAATTTTTTTCGTGCATTAAAGTTAGCTCCATATTTACAAGTTGCAAAATTATGTTCATAATAAAAATGGATCACTAAGTATAATTTATCAATAAAATATATATTATTCTGCAAAACTTTTAGTTTTGGTATGTTAAGTGTATTTCGATGCTTATACTTTTGTACTAAAGTAACATTTTGAATGCCAAACTTTTACTTGAGTATTTTCACACTATTAGAACTTGACCTTCAGTAAATGGTATGAGTACTTCTTCCACTTCTGGCTTTATGTGTATTGGTGTTACCTTTTGGGGGTTTGAATGTTTGCAGCCATTCATTCCAGCTGAAATACCTCCAGTAATTGCAGCTATTGACTTTGAGCCAGAAATGAACTAATCAGTGGAAGCAGCAGCTGTGGAGTTTAGAATTAAAACCTGGACACTCTAGAATTTGGCCTCACAGGTATCAAACACCTGCACCGTATTAGTTGCAAGTAAATGATCAAATCTGAAAAGCTACTGTAGCGATGCAAAGAGTGCCCTTTGCTGACCGAGAGCTGATCAGTCATGTGAATAGCACCAAATATTGATTTATGCCTTTCTTGCGCTTTTTGCTTCAGGGTGTGACATTTGATTATAGAGTAGGAGTTAATTCCTTTGACAGTGTGTGGAGAATTACTTCCTCTCAGTGACTTCCTGCAGTGTCCCTGAGCCACACTCCACTGCTGCTGCCTTTATCTAAATGTTCCTCACAAGCAGTTTGAAGTGGCAATATACTGCAACTCTTACTGTAGGAGTCCATTATGTTAATTGATGCATTTCAGTCAGGGTTTAAAGCTATAACATTCCTCCATTTAAATGTCTTAAAAAACGACTAGCCCTTACACATATGTTGTTGAGTTGTGTACTCACATAATCCCAAATGTTCAAAACAATGTTCCGCCCAAGTAGAACGATAATTGAATCAAGCTAACGGTGCATGTTATTTAATCACCTATAATGGTCGTCGTATTCCCCTTCGGCATGTGTTAAGGCCCCTACAGACCGGGCCGATTTTCGGCGTCGATAGATGTCGATAGATGTCTGGCTGTCGATGAGTGTCCTGTCGCCCTACTCAGATTGGTGTGTCCCGCACCGTCATGCCGACACCTTCCGCCGCCTGTCGGTAAAAGGCCGTCGGCTAAAGAAATCACTCTGATTGGCTGTTCAGCTTAGCGAATCAGTGCATGAGAAGCGAAACGGAAGTGAGGGACCCAAACAAACTATTAAGAAGGCAAATCTGAGATTTAATATAACTCCAGCTCTCGACACAGGTTCGGGAAAGCCCCATGAGCTTCTTGCTGTAGAGTGAAAATGGAACGCACACGCTATTTGTTGTTTGTTTATATCACGCAGTCTGTTCTTCTTCTCTCGGTGTATCACGCAGTCTGTCTTCCGGTTGTTGCCTCTTTTGAATGACGAATACACACTACCGCCGCCTGCTGGTAAGGAGAGTTATTGCCACTCACGCATGCGCAGTTCGTACGTGCTACTTGGCCGTCGGCTGAAGTCAGTGTGACTGTTGGCCAAGATGCAGGAGACGTGAGGCGACACAACAGTCGGGTCCGTTGGGACGTGTTCTTTGGTGTCAGATTGGTGTGTAGGGACCTTTAGAGTTGTGGTCTTCTGCTAGAAGCTGTCAAAAATGAAATGTGTATCTTTTTTTCAGCCACATTTTTACAATACACTTTTAACATCAGCCATTTGTATATATTTAAGAACAAAGGAATGTTAGTCCTTGGATTTTTTAATAGTTCTTGGAAAATCAAGCTAAGAAAACGTTAGCGGTAGCCGAACATTGTCGGAAAAAAACAAAAAAATCATTTTTATGTTAAACTGATTCATTTGTTGTTTCTGCCATTTATATTTACTGTGTCTGTTTGTTTTGGAGTGGAGGGCACCCCTGTGGATAGTTGGGTTTGGTTTGAAAATGTAATTAACGGATCTTACGTTATCAGAGAAACACGCTAAGCTAACGTTAACTATGTTCAAAACACCTCCGGAACATACCTCTGGGAATTCTGCACCTAGTAAAAACCTCAGACATTTTTTAAAACAGTGGAATTCTAAACAAGTGAAGCTGACTGCAAACTCCCATGATCCCATTCATGCTACGATACAATGGCACCAAACCACATCTTTTGTTGTTATATTGTTTGAGAGACCCCTTGTGGCAGAAAAATGATGTGTATATTGTGCGTTTGAAGTAGGTTACGCACATGCTACATGTATAATATGGGTCTTAATTAGATATTTTACATATAAACGTTTATGGTTTCTTGAAAGTCTGTGTCCATTGGTATTTTGAAACTTGGTCTAGTAACAGGTCCCTCTTGCTGAGGAGAAGACATTCTTGTGAAGTCTGTTCTTGAGTTTATTACCAGCCATGACACTTGTATTGTTTTCACCCTGAGAGTCTTATGTGTGTCATCATAGAGTGATGTGTGTCTGGAGACCTACTGTAGCTAGAACAACCATAAAGGAAGTTTTCATTACTTTGTCAGGTGTTATATTTCTGCCCATGTGTCAGTGGACAAATGTTGTTACATAGACAGTGTTGCAACCATGCAAAATGCAGTCACGAAACAGGATATGAGTTTGAAAATGGTCGTGATGCGAACAATGGGTCGAGGGTGGCTCTGGTCCCTCGACTTTTTGCCCCCCAGATCAATTTAGTTTTACAGATCTTTACAGATATATATAGTCATCAAATGAAGACTGAGATTGAAGACAGGTGAGGTCAGAGGAAAGGCACCAGAAGTAAGGGGTTGCGAAGGGACCATTTGGTGGCCCACTTTTATGCCCCTTGCCCAATTTGGCATGGTAGCTGGAGTGGTCCCATAGAAAGATGGTATTAAGTTGGTTCAGTTTTCATTATATTTTAGGTGACTTATCAAAGTCTCAAGGCCAAAGTTTCTTCTGAAGAAGAAACGTTATAGTCTGCTATATCTGTAGGTGAATAAATCAACCGTTATCTTCTCTCAGGAATCTTTCAGGCTGTGGTGTTTATCTCGAAGTCAGCTGCATTTTTTCCAATAAAGCTGCTGCACAAATATCCCAAATGCCCCCTGACATGAGGCTTCTTCTTTTCCAACACCCTTACATACAGTAGTTAGTGGAAATCATTGAAAGTGACCAAGCAGCGGACAGATTGGGCTGAAGGAAGGCCCTCTGTATCGGCTTGCTGACGTCTCACCGCTCACGGGTGTTTCACCCCCGAGCAGTCGATCCTGCACCCTGTCAAATCCCTGCCGGCATTTCTAACCCAAAAGCTGTTTTTAGGATTAAGGATTAAGGATTTTAAAAACGACCTCAATATGAGACTCAATTTCGGTTTTAGAAAACTGCTGTAACAAGATAACTGACAGTTAATTCGCCTTTTTGGGCCTCTTGCAGAGATGCTATCTGTTTTTTTACCGATACATTGTTGGAAAACAGAAGGCATTTATTCTTATAATAGATCATAAATATTTTGACCAGTCCCTACAGGGTTGTAGATGCTCAGTATTTTATATGTGCTCAAAAATAGCCTGGAGGCTAAACTGCTATTATGCCCGTCTCTGACCTCTGTAATAACTGAACCATTAGTATCACATTGCTGTCAGTCATGAAGCAGTAAGTGATTAAGATGTCAATTCACTCCTCAAGGCTCCTTGCATAATGTTTTCCCTCCTAGGAATTGTTTTGTCATCACTATTGATTGATTACAGCATACATTAAGCCTGTAAAAAGCCTATACGTTCCTGCAGTAAGCATCGCTCCTTATGTGCATGCTGATGCAGTAGCTTCAGGCTCAACCCTGGGCCAAAAAGCTTGTCTCTCTACCAGAGACGTACACTCAGCCTGTCCCCTCATGGCGATGATTGGCTGTAATGACACTCTCCACACTGTCCCGGTTCCCAATTATTTCAATGCCGATCCTTTTTCTCTAGGCAGCGATTTGATTGCGTCCCAGAAGGAGAAAAGGTACACAGAGCCTTAGGCAGCATGGTGGGAGAGGTAGACTGATGCTATGTTAGGAGAGAGGGAAAGAGAAAGAGTGATGCTATAGAGCAGGGATGGGCAAATGGTGGCCTCTTTTTGCGGCCCTCAGATTAATTTATAAACAACGTAATTAATAAAAAAATAAAATAAATAATTATTATATATTTTTTTTTTTGTACTTGTAGTACTGATACCGTCCACTAAACTCCTAGTTACGTCGCGAGCGCGTACATTATTTAGTTCGGCAGCCAAATACCGCGAAATAATCTGTGACGCGTTTCTTTCCCGGGGAAACACTCACAAGAAACACCGGCTGTTGTTATGCCTGCTGTGACGTAAAGTTACTGCTTGTAATTATGCCTTTACAAGCTTAAAAAGTTGTATTTATCATCTGAATTTGGCGAAACAAGTTTAATATTATAAAAACCAAGACTTTGTTTATTTGAAATCAGATGAAAACAAACTGTCACGGACCCTGCCGTGTTATCTATGATTACTATACACTTTTCATTCATAATTTCAGCGGGATTAGAGGATGTTCCCTGAAAGATTGTAAAATGTCAATGAAGATGTCAGACTTAGTATATTTGTTAATAATTACATACAATACATGGTATTTGTGTGTGTGTGTTCCAAGTGAATCTGTGGCCCCCTGGTGGCCAGTACATCAATTATGTGGCCCCCACCACCATCCAAGTTGCCCATCCCTGCCATAGAGGGAAGGAGGGAGGAAGAGAAAAAGAGAAAGAGAGAGCAGCGGTATCTCCCAGACGGCTTGTGAAGTGCTAGAGTTCAGCAGAATTGTGTCCAGGGGGCAAAGGATAACAAATGATGGCAGCTGATAATGTGTGACTTTATTTTGGTTTTGACGCCTCTCTGTTGCTGTGGGAGTCGCAGCGCTGCATGTCAATAAGTTGTGTTTTATGGGCGCAGGAGTTATTTAAAGCTGTGAAAAGCTTGATCAGACAACAGTGACAGATGGTAGAGATTCCCAACAAGTGGGGTGCGTGGAAATGTTGCAGAGTAGCTTCGCAGATTTGAAAAGAAATAGAAGGTAGAATATGTTTAAATATAATTACAGGCATAGTTGTCTTGAGGAGGGAAAATTAGCAGATACATTTGACAACACCTCAACATGAGTGGTCTTAATAACTAAAGCAGTAATTTAAAATGTTTTGACATTTTGAAAAATAGACTCATTAGTCTTAACGATAGATAGATGAGAAGATATGGTGCAACTAAACGAAATAATTATTGCAAAACTGTTGTTATTCCCGGTTTTCTTTCAGGAAACTTCCATCGATATTCAAAGTCAAAGTAAACTTTATTGTCAATTTCTCTGAGTGTTATACAAACAGGAAGAAATGCTGTTTCCTCACTGTCCCAAAGATTAAAATATATATATATCCATACGAATATAAAAAATAAGAATAAAAACAAAAGTCTGGTAGACAGAAAAAGCTGATTATTATATGACAATGAGTGAAATTGAACAGTGCAATATCTACAGGTGTCATATCAGTGTTGAAGCTGCTTGTAGAGAAGACAAAAGTGAGGGTAGGGGGGAGAGCCTGGAGGAAGGGGAGAGAGTTCAGCCTCCTGACAGCCTGGTGGAAAAAACTGTTCTTTAGCCTGGTTGAGCTGAACCTCTGGCTGCGGAACCTCCTCCCTGAAGGCAGGAGGGTGAAGAGGCAGGTGGAGGGATGGGTGGGGTCACCCACAGTGCAGAGTGCTTTGGGGGTGAGGCGGGTGTTAAATGAGTCCAGGAGTGTTGGGAGTGAGGCACCGATGATCCTCTCAGCTGTGGTCACTATGCGCTGCAGGGTCTTGCGGTTGGAGGCGGTGCTGAGGATGCTCTCGATGGCGCCTCGGTAGAAGGAGTGCATGATGGGAGTGGGGGCTCCTGCTCTCTTCAGTTTGCTGGGCTTTCTTGGTTGACGTGGTGTTGTTCCTCCAGGAGAGGCCCTCAGTGATGTTCAGCCCCAGGAATCTGGTGCTGCTCACCTGCTCCACAGCAGCACCATCGATGGTTGGTGGGTGGGGGTGTGGGTTCTCATGAAGTCAACAACAATCTCCCGTTTTAGTTTTTTAATGCAGAATGAAGGAACATTATAACAACTTGCAAAAAAACACAATTTCAGGCCCACAATAAAGACAATATAATAAAATAAAAAGGAAAATACTATAACAATATGTCACATTTTTCAAAATACAAACAGAGAAAATTGTAAAATTATGCAGAAATGTGCTAACGTGTAATAGGCTAGCAAGAAAACAGGCTTAAAAAATTAATAAAAAATCAAGTGCTGGATAACTGGTTGAAGTGTCAAGCTAAGTGTATTAGCAGAACAAATAGAAAATGTTAAAAAAGTTGTTAAGCTTAAAAATCAACAATACACTTTAACATCCAGTTCCAATCAATTTAATGGAAGTTATTCCAATTGGGAATAGTTAAAAGCTAACAATGGCTAAATAACCAACCACAACCTGATAGTTAAAAATAGAAAATAAATTGCAGAAATAAGTGTTTTTTTTATGCATACAGCATATAGAGCTCCCCGGGGGTTACATTACATCTGCATCGTGTGTTAATGATTCATGTGCATGTGTGCAAGGTCAGTCCAGTATTATATATAGTACACATTCACCTAATGCTTTGCTTTCCATACAGCTTGTTAAACAGCCGCCTGGGGCCTTATACATCACTAAAGGCCAAACCAAGAGAGCAAATGTCTCCGGTCTCAAAGTGTGTGTGTGTGTGTGTGTGTGTGTGTGTGTGTGTGTGTGTGTGTGTGTGTGTGTGTGTGTGTGTGTGTGTGTGTGTGTGTGTGTGTGTGTGTGTGTGTGTGTGTGTGTGTGTGTGTGTGTGTGTGTGTGTGTGTGTGTGTGTGTGTGTGTGTGTGTGTGTGTGTGTGTGTGTGTGTGTGTGTGTGTGTGTGTGTGTGTGTGTGTGTGTTTGTGCTGCTCTGTCTCCAGGGAGTTCGGTCGATGGAAGGTCAACAGCCTGGCGGTGGAGAAGCGGGATGGTTTGGGTGGCAGCGGGGGCCTGGCTCTGCCCCTCGACCCCGACTTCATGCACACCATCCGCCAGCTGGGGAGGCGGCCCACCCTCCAGACCATTACTGAGAGTCTAATCAAGAAATATGGCACCCACCTCCTCCTCTCCGCCACTCTCGGAGGTACGGTTGAGAACGCAGAGCTTCAAAGCAAGCCTGTTTCACACGGCTTCAAACGTGATTTGTTTGTTTTTTCAGCACATGGGGCACCAATTTTACCGTCTGTTGCCTTCTAAACAACAAAACATATAATAATATTTCTGGATCAGTGTTTTTTTGGCTCTCAAAATACATGAAATCACCCTGGTTTAGTGTACAAAAATTTAATTGGAGAAGGCAGTGAAAGGCAGATTTAATATTTCTGTTTGGCCGTGAAAATGAACGGAGGAACACGATTTGTATGCAATGGGCTTATCTCTTTTAATAAATCAGCATTAGATATTGTAATTTATTTGAAGAAGATTGAGTTTGAAAGTGTTTGCTGTATGAACAAAAACAACACAAATGTGATGGAACTATCCAAATGCAAATTCAGTTGAAAACAGCTATTGGCGATGAAATCCAGGATTATTTTGATGTTCGGTGCGCTTTTATGTTTTTCCCACACATACAATAACCATCCAAAAATCAACAGTAAACATACGGTTTGGCTGTGAGTGTCTCAAAAGAGCAGACAAAACAACTATTTATACTGTAGTTTTAATATTTCATACCAGTTCTCAAATATCTCTCGGGCAGAAATCCATCAAAACAACAGACAAAAAAATCGCCTATTCTGACTTTAGACTTAGCAGAGTGCCATGCAACACAGAGTAAAACTCTGATACAAGACTGTAAGACCCTACTGATAGAGCTTAGGGTGTGGGTGGTGAAACTTGAAACACCCAAGATAGATGTCTGATGCAAATTTTGAAATGTTTTCTAATTTCCGTAAACTCACTTTGTCTGGGGTCTCTTTTTATGAGACTATTTTCTGCCCTGACACTGTTATGATCGAGGTTTGGTTGGTTACGGCTCCAAAACTACTTGGTGAAGGGTAAAAAACAGTGGTAGCCATGGTTACAAAAAACGCATTGATTGTTGGAAAGAGTCAAGAAACCTAAAATCAACATTGCTTACATTTAACCATGGGATTTTTCACTAAATACCGGTTTGGTGAAGAAAAAACAACAATAGCTGTGGCATATCATTAAAGTAACTTGCATAAGTTTAGTTTCTGTCATACAGTTTGTAACAGTTTAAAAAACAATCTTACACAACAGAAATAACTTGTGTCACTTTAGATGGTGATTAAATCAATTAGTTTGGAGAACCTGTGCACATTTGCAATGGCGTTTCTACTGTATTTATTCTTGTGGTCAAACTGGGAAGCCTTTGAGATTGATATGTAACTTCCCAGAAGCCGGTCCAAAAAATAGATAGTCTTGGAACGGGCCAAATGCTTCTCCTGTGATATCGCTGCAAGCAGATTTCTTAAGAACCACTTCTAGAAACAACTTCACACTCAACACTGCGGTTCTGGATCCTGAGCTATGGTACTGAGCAGTAAACCTGCCATGCACGACATATTGTAGTTACGTCACACAACCAACTCACAACTACTCAGAAACACCGGTATAATATATGGTTCACAGTAATAAAACAAACCCAAATATGGCAACTATCGCGGTCAGAAACACAGGTGAATTGTACTGAGCTGATGTATTAATTGCTGTAAGGCTTATAGGTCCCTTACTTTGCCATTATCACTGCATTTATAAATAGGGGCATGGATCAAATTAGTGGAGGTATTTTGCCAGTGATCATTTCAACAGTTTGTATGGCAAAAACAAACACAGTTTGAGTTGCAATGGCAGAGTGGCACTGTTTCTGCAGGCTTTCTGCTTCACTACCCTGGAGACAGCGAGAATTAGCTGAGTTCATAACAGTTTAAAAACCAATGTTACACAAAGAACTTGTGTCACTTTAGATGGTGATTAAATAATTGACCTAATCTCAATGCCAAGAATAGTTTAAAACGTGATTTTGGGTAGATGCCTGTATTAGGTTTGTAGTTAAAACAAGTTTAAGAGATTTTCATAAAATATGTCAGTAAATACCCCACTTATGAATGTCCGAAGCTTCAGTGTGTCTTTAAAAAATTGCCTTGCTAAATTCACTAAATGAGACTTCCATATGTCATGGCACCGAACATTAGCTGCCTTTAGCTTAGTGCCATGTGACCATGATGTAGTTTGTTTGCATTTACGCTTAAAAAATAATAAAAGTGGAGTTCAAATGTGATTTTTCCATCTGAAAAAGGTGTAAGAATCATAAATGTGTGATAGCCACAGAACCATATTTAAAAATCCAATAATAAAATCCCATTGCACTTCTCTATAGGAAGATAATTGGACAGAATTTGGAGTAAACCCAATCACAGGGGTGTTTCTGTCATGAGTGGTTGCTAATCCGAATATATTATCTGCCCAATTGAACCCTTTGGTGTGAGGCATTAACAGACATAATCTCAAAGTTACCAACTGGATCTCCTCTAAGTGTGGCAAGGGACCAGTTTTTGAAATTGGCCAATGAAGCCTGTATATACAAAATGGCCTTGCCGTGCTGTTAGAGTTAACAGTAGATGTAATCTTAAAGTTTGCTAAGTGCCCTCACTGATTGCACACTCACTCCTTTAAACTGCACTCAACACAATTTGTCTATTGAATTCGAAATTATTTGCCGTGTTTCCCAGTAAATCATCCTTTTATTCAAAATAATTGGGCTTATTACTGACCAGTTAGTGAGGTAGGTCACAGTGTAGAAGCTATGCTATTGATTCTACCTGCAAATGTACTGTAATAACCCACAGCTGAATATAGCAATTTCACACACTTTCTCCGGGGCACACATTTGTAAGTTGACAATAGAAGCACTGAGGCAGTTTGAGAAAAAAGGTCAGCAATAACACCAAAAAAAGTAAGTTACATCACTTCATCAAAAAAGTCCCGGGGCTAGACACACAAAACTCACATACATTTTGCCCTCACAAAGACAAAAAAAGTAGTCTCATTTATAAAGCCGCACATACAATAGGACTCCTTTCCATTCCCACAGCTAGCCATGTAAAAAAGTAATTATTAATAACACGACATTATGTCAAAACTACAAAAAATGTAATATTTTTTCACTTCATTGTATACTTGAATTTTTTCATAATCTTTTGTTTGCTTTAATCAACAGTCTGAACGCAATATGTAATACACCTTTCCGCATTTTTAAATGTATTTTAACACATTCTGCAGTGGTTATAATTTTTCTTTAGAAGTTGCATGTTTTTTTCCAAAAAATGAAATTCGTTACTTGCATTTTTTAATACTAAACCAAAATGTATGTCTTCAATAAAAAAAATTGTTATAACATCATAGCTACAAAGTTTACTTCATGTATTTAAGAATCACACTGAACCAAAATTAAAAATGAAAAAAGGTGCAGTAAAATATATTTTGGCACAGTATTTCTTATTTGTCCTTATAATATAGACAGTGTAGAGCTGAGGACATCCATTATGGCCTCTACAAAATGCATGTATTACAACATTTTCATTAAAATATTGCAACTCTCGCATCTTGTAACAACCACTTCAATATGTCATCATTTATCACAAAATGACGGAAAGTGTGTTTATAAGTTATTAAATAATGAAAAATGTTTTATATATTGTCAAGTGAGTACATAATGTGTAGTTTGGCACTCTTTAACATCTGTTTGCAAATCAATACTGCCCGCTCCCCTGGTCATTAGACCTGTCAATGAGAAAAATAAGTATTGCAATTTCATCGCCAAGGTTCTCCAACATCTGTCATTCCGCCCAGCTGTAGCTATTTATAGCTTCCATATTGCTAATTCATCACACAAACCTGTAAACCATCTCAATCTTCATTATTAAAAGTCATGAGGAATGATCAATGATTAATTTAAAGCTGTACCAGACTTCAGAAAGTTCTTCACAGTTTAGGACAAATTTAGAAGAACATTACCGGGGAAATAATGGCTTGAGTGTAAATAAAAAGGAGACATTTCTTCAAAGGGGCCCTATTATGCTCATTGTCAGGTTCATATTTGTGTTTTGTGCCTCTACTGTGACATGTTTACATCATGCTTTAATGTTCAAAAAGCTCTTTATTTTTCTCATACTGCTGCAGCACCTCTTTTCATCCTCTGTCTGAAACCAGAGCCCAGTCTGCTCTGATTGGTTAGCTGGCCGGCTCTGTTGTGATTGGTCAACTGCTTAGTGATATCCCTCAACAAATCAAGTACAATAGAAGCGAGAGTGTTACACAGTGATGTCACTATGTTACTAGAGAAAACAAAGGAGTCCAATGGAGGTGTTTCAGGCAGGGGGGGAGTTTGTGGGAGACCCTCTGGCATAAACGTTGGGATGTTGACCTTTGCAGAACATTTGTATTCACAAATATCTTTATAACACGCTACAGGAAAGGGAAAACGGCAAAGATAATTGGCATAATTGGGCCCCTTTAAGTAGACCTAAGGTGTGCACACTCACCACACAGTTTTTCCATAAATACCAGTATTTATGGTAAATACTGTATGTATGTATGTGTTTTGTGTGTTCCTTTATTCATAGTTTAGTTTTACTGTCTGCTTTTTGCATACCATATTATAGTTTAAACAGATCTTCAGATTTCAGATCTTTCCAAGTGTGGAATGTCTCCAAGATAATTGTATTATTAATGTCATTTCGGCCAATAATTAGGATTATTAGAATGATTAGGGGAAGTTGATCATTGGTTTAGCTCTCTGTTCCAGGGGAGTTTAAAAGAACACATCATAGCACAGAGACAGCTCTGGTTAAAGTCACAAATGACCTTCACATAGCCTCAGACAAAGGACTTGTCTCTATTTGTTGATCTTGTATATTGGTATTTATTATTTTTATATTATTTATTTAAATATAAATGTATCATTTATTTTTGTATTGGTTTTTCAGTTGAATTATACGTTCAGGGTAATCAACAGTTAAAAAGATACTGTTCAAATTATTATTTGTATTTGTTTTAAAGTTCAATAAATGGATGTTTTCAAAGTCAATGAATAATCGTATTTAATAATCGTGATATCAATTATTGACAAAAATAATCGTGATTATGATTTTTGCCATAATCGAGCAGCCCTAATCTGAACGCTCTCAGTTTGTGTGTGTCAACGATGAATCTTCCATGCAAACCAAAGTGAGCCATGGAGTGCCACAGGGCTCAGTGCTTGGACCTATTTTGTTCACATTATATGTGACCTGCTCCATCGAAATCAGTCGCATTGACGCAAAGACACATTTTGAGTTGTATACACTGTTGGAAAGAGGAGATTCATAGCTCTCTAATGATATCAGGATTGTTTTTGTACTCCAAATATTAAGCAAAATATGTCACATTATATAATGACTGTCACCGAGTCATCATTCTGAGAAAAAGGCCTTTAAAGTTTCCTCTTCTCCGGAATCCATCGATCTGATTGATTATTAGCAGAGCAAATGATCAAAATAGTCCGGAGGGAAAATATTTTGGTTTGGATTACTGGTCTGGGGGAAGCTCGCGAGTGTGTGTGTGTGTATACGTGTGTGTTTGTGTATTTTTGCGTTTTGTGTGTATTGTGTTTGTTTCCCGGGGAAAACACTCAGAAGAAACACCGGCTGTTGTTATGCCTGCTGTAACGTCAAGTTACTCCGTTCTCCGCTTGTAATTATGCCGTTACAAGCTTCAAAGTTGTATTTATCATCTGAATTTGCCGAAACAAGTTTAATATTCTGAAAGCCAAGACTTTGTTTATTTGAAATCAGATGAAAACAAACTGTAACGGACCCTGCCGTGTTATTATGATTACTATACGCCTTACATTCATAATTTCAGCCGGAGGGAGGGGAAGCAGCGCTGCGGAACAGCAGAGTGGCGAGTGAGAGCTGTTATCTTCCCTTTACAAGCTTCAAAAATGTTTCATATTCTGAAAGCCAAGACTTTGTTTATTTAAAATCAAACAAAACACCCAAACCCCGAAAAACAAGGTAAGCAGCAGCAACATGAAACACAGCAGCAGGTACATGAACGCAGCAATAGCAAGTGAACACAGCAGTGGCAGCACCAGCATAGCGAGGCAGAGGCCTGGCAGCTTAAATAGAGCGGCATGTTTAGGAGAATGTATTTGGTTGGTTGTAAGAGGGACGAGGTGCGTCACATGTTAATGTATGATTGGTGCTCGAGTTGACTGCCTGAACTAGCTCGCAGGCTTCGCCCCATTTATTGTACTCGGCCCAAAGAATCTCCGAAACAAACTATCTAAAGATATATTAATTATGGATGGCATTACTTTGGCCTCCAGTGAGACTGTAAGGAATCTTGGTGTTATATTTGATCAGGATTTATCTTTTAACGCCCACATAAAATCAATCTCAAGGACCGCCTTCTTTCATCTACGTAACATTGCAAAAATCAGGCATATCTTGCCTCAAAACGATGCAGAGAAACTAGTCCATGCATTTGTTACTTCAAGGCTGGATTATTGTAACTCTTTATTATCAGGGTGTACCAAAAAGTCAGTTTTGTCACTTCAGCTAATTCAAAATGCTGCAGCTCGCAAAAGGGACCACATTACTCTTGTTATGGCTGCCTTACACTGGCTCCCTATAGAACACAGGATAGAATTAAAAATTCTTCTTCTCTTCTACAAAGCCCTTAATGGGCAGGCGCCATCTTACCTGAAATAACTCATTATACCCTACTGTCCTACTAGGGCATTGCGTTCCAAGAATGCACGGTTGTTGGTTGTTGGTTGTTCCTAGAGTCTCTAAAAGTACAATGGGAGCCAGAGCCTTTTCTTATCAAGCTCCACTTTTTTTGGAATCAGCTTCCAGTTTGTGTTCGGGCGGCAGACAGCCAATCCGTTTTTAAGTGTACGCTTAAGACCTTCCGTTTTGATAAAGCTTATAGTTGATAAAATAATCTAATAAGAGTGCATTGACGTAGACACGTTGTGCCTCTTCACCTATACATCTCAGTTCTTACTCTTTTTCCTTACTGATGGTATGTAATTTGGTTGTGTGTGTAGACGGTGGAAGCGAGAGAGGCATATACGTGCCTTGATCCCTGCCGAGTCGACGCACAACTGTTGATTGGTGTCAATGCCAAAAAACAAACTTTTTAGGAGCAATGCGCCCATGGTGTAGATGTGGCGCATACATCTTAGTTCCTACTCCTTTCCCTCACCCTATCCTATCCAAAGAGGTATACACTTTCTCCCAGGTGTTTGCCAAATATATTCTTTAAATGATAAAATTCTGATGTATTGATAAAAAGGTTCATATTTGAAGATGGGGAACATTTGTGCCAATTTAACAGGCATATTGTGACCACTACTACAACCCACCTTATCTGTCACTTCCTTTACCGTACAATGACCCATTCCAAAACCATGCTAAGATATTAGCATGTTAGCTTGGGAGCAGAGATGGGGTCGTTACTAAAAAAAAGTAATATATTACATATTACATATTACTTTAAAAAAAAGTAATATATTACACTACTTCGTTACTCTCTACATAAAGTAACTCGTTACTTTACTCGTTACTTTACTCGCAGGGCCGGCCCGCCCCTCCCTACAGGCAGATCACGCAGACTGCTAAAGTTTCAAATGTTCTCTTTAGTTCAGTTTCTATTGTTGCATAAGACTGATCCAGATAGCTCTGACCATGGCTGTCCTCTGTCTCCTGCTATCTGTATTTTGCGCAGTATATCTCTGAACGATACGATGGTGATTCCACTGTGCAAATGGGCAACATTTCCTCTACTATGAAGGATGCTACAAGCCTGTCCATCTCTGCTTTGGTTACCGGTCCTCCAAATTCTCATTTGTGCTGCTTCAGAGTCGGCGGTGGCGCACTCACAACATCCTCACTCTGGGTTCGGGGGTCCGGTCCTTAGCTATTAGCTTCACTTTAGCTTCTTTGCAGGTGTTTGTTGAGGTTTGACGTGGTGTTTACAGCAGTGTATAACAGCTTCTGGCCTGGACACAGTTTGCACCTCACCGTCACATTCCTGTCTATTCTTCGGACGAACTCAAAATAATGGGCATACCTCCACCCCTCGAAAGTTATCGCTGACTCAGCCATGTTTATGCAGCACTGCTCGCGGAGATGTGAACTCGCGAGTCGCGCAGATTACGTACATATAAACCTGCGGCGGAAACCCCTCTTGTCTGTCAGTGTGATTATGACTGATTTTATAAAAGTAACGAAGTAACGCGTGTCGGGGCAATGTTAGTAACTGTAGTGTGATTACTGAATTATAAAAGTAACGCGTTACACTACTCCGTTACCGACAAAAGTAATATTATTACAGTAACGCGTTACACCCAACTCTGCTTGGGAGAACGGAGCAGTTTCTAAGTGACTCTAACGTAAAAGTTAGCTAAATAGGGAAACATGACAACGGTTTAATTCATTTTGTTTATCTGTAATAAACTGGTCTGCATGTACGCAGACACGTTATGCCTCTCCACCTCTGTTCCTTACTTCTTACTTGCTACCCCTTTCCCTCAACCTATCCTAAGGGAGTCCATGTACGTAGACACGTTAGTTTTGCTGCTATAGGCTTAGACTGTCAGGGGACACCTTACTTCTTCCTTCTGTCTGTCTGTACCTGTGTACTCTCATGTTCCGAATAACCCAGCTTCCCCCAAATTTCTTCTTGGTGTCTATCTACGCCGGGAAGTCGTGGCTGCGGTCCTGTGTCCTGGATCCTGAATCATGTGTCCTGGATCCTGCATCCTGAGTCCTGGATCCGGAGTCCTGGATCCTGAGTCCTAGATCCTTAGTCCTGGGTCCTGGATCCTGTGTCCTGGATCCTCTATCCTGAGTCCTGGATTTCGAGTCGTGGCTGAACCTGTCACTGTGGTCCTGCCTGACTCTCATCATACTACTTCCCTGATGGCTCCCACAGGATTGTTGACATCCTCATGGATTCATCTTCTTATTATAGACACATGCATTTCCAAACATTTGGTCTACCTATGCTGTAAAATGTATTATCTCTTCGATTTACACACGGCATCTATTGCACGTCTGTCCGTCCTGGGAGAGGGATCCCTCCTCTGTTGCTCTCCCTGAGGTTTCTCCCATTTTCCCCTTTAAACTTTAGGGTTTTTCTCTGGAAGTTCTTCCTTGTACGATGTGAGGGTCTAAGGACAGAGGGTGTCGTATTGTCATACTGATATTCTGTGCAAACTGTGAAGTCCACTGAAACAAATGTAACATTTGTGATATTGGGCTATATAAATAAACATTGACATTGAAAAAGATGCAGAGACCTTGTCTGTGCCTTTTCCTCCAATCATCCAAACCATCAGTTCCCCACAGCACTTAATCACTGCTGCGCTTTTATACCCGATCTAAAAAGATACTAATGAAAGGTGATTAGTGCCGCTCTGTCAAAGCTAATGAAGCTCCCCTTCCTTCTATCTCACTGTCACCAGGGGAGGAGTCTTTGACAATATTTGTGGACAAAAGGAAGCTCAGCCAGGAGTCTTCGTCGGCGGGGGGGCGATGGCAGCCGTAACAGCAACAGGAACTCCAACACGTCGGGGACGGTGACCCTGGAGGCCCTCCACCAGCTAGCCGCCTCCTACTTCACGGACAGAGAGAGCACACTGCGCAGGCTGCACCACCTCCAGATCGCATCCACCGCCATCCGGGTACGTGGAAGTCAACCAGAACTGGGGTGTACAGGCTGGTGGGTGGGACTTAGCTAGTTAGGCTCAAATGTTTTAACATGGCATCCAAGTCACAAACGTTCTCATTTCATGGCAAAATACAAAAACGGACAGAATCTCAATTAATATTTGATTAGCTCTGCTGAGTTTTATCTGAGTTTAAAAACAGGGACTTACACTGCATTAGGGACTTCTTAACTCTGATTGGTTGTTTTCCTTCAAGCATGTAGGAATCATGCAAATGCCATACTGAGCACTCGAGGGAAGAGAAACATTACTTTTTCAAAAATGATCTGTCTCTTTTATCACTATCAGCATTAAGTGAAAGCTTTACAAAAAAACTAAAAGTTACCAACCACACCTTTTAATCACTGAAAAGATTAAATGTTTACCCTAAACTCTTCCTAAAACCGTTGATTACGAACACATTGCGCTTCCTTGTCAGGATTCATATTGGCTTAATTTGAAGGCTTTTAAAAGAAGAAAAAAATGGACTGGCAACATCGCAACTATGTTATGTTCAATATGATTTTGGTTTTCATTCACAATGACAATTTTGGTTGTTTTATTTGTAACACGTTTTTAACAAACAAATTGTAGGGATTGTGTGTAAAATCTGAATCTGAAAAGTAACCACAAGTAACTGTAGCTTTAAAATAAATGAATTGGAGCTGGAGTACAGTAGCGTAAAATAAACAAAGTTGACATTTATGATAGCTTAAGATATCGTGTGCTTACAAATCCTTTAATTAGAGCCCAGGGAATTAACATCCATAACGTATTAAATCAGGTAGGATTAAGAACAAATGCATATTTACAGAATTGGCTTGACACCAAATATATCTCCTGTTTTTGTCTCTCTTTGCCGTGCAGTTTATTGGCATATAAAACTCATGTGTGGAGAAGGAACTGGTACGATATGATTTGCATCAGATGCTGTTCAATACGTTTGTTGAACTTTTATAGTAAGACGGTCAACCTCATCTTTTCTAATGACCTATTAGGGGCTAATTGGCTGAAGTTTTTAACTCAGTAGAAAACATGTTACAAAACACAAGGCCATTGCCTCCCAATGTACCAAGCTTTGAAAAGGAGGGTGAAGAAGCAGAACGGGGGAGCAGTGGTGCGTCCTGTACGATAAAACACCAATCATCCGTTTTATCATCTGAAGTGGCCATTAGTGTGTACACATTAATCAGCCTGAGGGGCAAACATAGATGCTAAAGTGAGTAGCCAATGATGAAGACAAGTGCCCTCCCCCCCTGAACTGAGAACGTGTTCCTACGGTTATGCATCAGGTTGATGGATTAGAAATATCATTCCATTAATTTCCTGCCAGCCCACTTCCATTCATTTGCCACTTTGCAGAGTGTGTGGAGCTCAGGCAGATTGAAGATCAGAGCGAGAGAAAGGGAGCAAAAGAGGCAGATGAATGCTACATTTTATGAGGGATGTAAAGCTGCACCTATGATACATGGCATTTCATTAAAACCACACACAGTATTGAGCATTTTGTGTGAAATAGGACGGATTGGTGGAATAAACTTATGCTAATACCAAGTAAGTTATGTGTTTTTCTGTTTCAGAGTGGCAGAGTTTGAAGGTCCAAAATCAGGATTAATTACAGTTAGAAATAAGCCGAGAAGTGAATCGTTTTTAAGACGGAGGAAAGTAGATTTTTTTCTCTCAAATCAGAAAAAAGCTTTCTAATTGAAGACCCTTTCAATGTTACTCAAGTGACTCACTGCATTCCAAATTAATTTGAGGCATAAAATGCCTTTGATGAATCCCTTCAGATTTCTTATTTTTTTTAATAAACGAATAAAATGGGTCAATATGTGAAATTGGTGTCAAAATTCAATGGTTTAGCCCATTGTGTGGTTTCTTCGTTTGGTTAAATGCAAGTAAAAACATGATTCGACCCAGTTCTGACCCAACTGAAGGAAGTAGTGCACTTTTCTTACCAGCTCCTGTCGCGTTTTTTGCGGCCAAGGTTTATTTTCTCCCTACATGGGAATTCAAACTAATTAGTGAACAGTTCCTTCGAGAACAGAGGAACTGTGAACACAAACCAAATTTGAGGCGATGTGCAACTTTGTAATAAATTGGTCCCTGATTAGGACCACAGCAAACAATAGGTTGAAAATGCCCTTAAAATATCCACTGTGATGTTCTCAGTTTTTAGGGGGGCTTCCAAACACACGCACCACAAATAATAACTGACTGGAATTGGGAGAAAAAACGAAAATGTCTTACAAATCCTTAACGGCTTCCATAATGTTACAGGAATGGCTCGGAGCCATGTTAGCGTAACAACAGAGCTAGTTTCCAGTCCATACCACCATATTTAGATCCAAAAAACTAAGAATGCTGCTGTGGGGATGACTTGAAGAAAAGACAAAGATAAGATACAATACAATCATTCACATTCTATTAATTTCCTTGCAGGTGACAGAAACCAGAACCGGGCCGCTCGGATGCAGCAACTATGACAATCTGGACACAGTCAGCTCTGTTCTCGTTCACAGTCCAGAAAACAAGGTTCAACTGCAAGGTAAAAGCTCCTTAGATGGCAATGGTGACATCGGCAATAGCCAAATATATGAATTGTCATTTGATAACTGCAATAAATAATACATCCAGCATGAATCTATATTTTAGTCAACACATCCCATGAAACACCCAAAACCAACAATGTGTGAATCCTTTTCTCAATTATTTTCTATCTTCTTTAGCCTAAGGCAACCACAATGCGATTATTTAAGACACTAATCCTTACAAACAGGAAATATTTTGTTCTCTTGTTTTACAAAAAGCTCAGGAATGTCCTAAATACAAACTAATTTCTATTGAAGCTATGGGAATGTTTTTTTTTGTAACATGACTCAAACAGGAGCAAGTAGTGCATTTCCCTGGGACCATTTTCAGCTGTGGATTAATACACATTTGATGAATTAGTGAGTGTGTGTGTGTGTGTGTGTGTGTGTGTGTGTGTGTGTGTGTGTGTGTGTGTGTGTGTGTGTGTGTGTGTGTGTGTGTGTGTGGTGTGTGTGTGTGTGTGTGTGTGTGTGTGTGTGTGTGTGTGTGTGTGTGTGTGTGTGTGTGTGTTGTGTATGTGTGATCATGGTACTGACAGAACATTTAACCCAGTGCAATTATTTGGCTCATCTATCTAACTTAAATGGAAGGAGTTTCTGTCTGACTGTCATTCGATTTCCTTGACAAATGTTCATCCGATCGACTTCACACTTGGCGGCAGTATTGCTGAGGACCCAAAGCAGTGCACAGTTGAGTCTGAGCTCTTCCTTTGGACTTATTTATTAGTGCTGGGTTACTTAATTGATTTTCAAAGTGGGATCCAGACCACCAAAGAGGTATACACTTTCTCCCAGGTGTTTGCCAAATATATTCTTTAAATTATAAAATTCTGATGTATTGATAAAAAGGTTCATATTTGAAGATGGGGAACATTTGTGCCAATTTAACAGGCATATTGTGACCACTACTACAACCCACCTTATCTGTCACTTCCTTTACCGTACAATGACCCATTCCAAAACCATGCTAAGATATTAGCATGTTAGCTTGGGAGAACGGAGCAGTTTCTAAGTGACTCTAATGTAAAAGTTAGCTAAATAGGGAAACATGACAACGGTTTAATTCACTTTGTTTATCTGTAATAAACTAGTCTGAAGTATCTAGGTTCAAACGTTCTAGAATTGAAACAGTTCTATTAGCATCGAACGAAGAGCTCTATCCTGAGCTAGCTAATGGTACAATCCAGCCAAGTAGGTAGCCATTCATATTTTCATCTCACATAATCACAAGCCTTGATACGGAATAATAAAATAGTTCCTAGTTGTAAATGCTCACTGCAAGGTCTGGAATATCGATCCGGAAAGAGACATTGCTATAGTTTATAATGTTTATAATATAATGTTTTTTTTTTGTCAAGCCAAGTGCAATAGTTACATTTTTATTGGAGAGATGAGACTACTTTAAGTTGTAGAACAAAACATGAAACTATTATAAGTTTTTGTTTGGCACAGATAGGGGTGCATACCGGTTCCCGGTAGTACCGAAATACCGGTTACTGGTGGCTACGGTATACCGTACCGAAATCAGATCCGGTTTTCGATACTTTTCTTTTCTTTTTTTTTCTTTTCTTTTTTTTATAAAAGTGAGGCATAATATCCTTAAACTTGTGCCCAAACCGTCGGAATTACGATGTCAATTTCGCAGTGAAACTCCGCAACCAAGTCACTTTTGAAAATCTAAAGTGTGGCTGCATATGACTGCCAGTCTGAATGGTAACCACTGCAAGAAGTTTATTTCTGGGAAAGGTGGCAACACATCCAATCTCCAATCAATGCTGTCTCGTATGGCAACCAAGTACCTTTGTGTTCAGGGAAGCAGCGTGCCAAGCGAGAGAGTGTTCAGTTTAGCAGGTGATATCCTACGCTGTGAAAGGGCCCGTTTGGATCCAGAGAGAGCAGATATGCTCATCTTCTTGAAGATGAATGCACAAAACTGAACTGTGATGGGATTTGTTTTCTTTCATCAGGCAAATGTTGATTTTAAGGATGCTATTTGTTTTATGTGCAATGCCGAGATCTCATGATCCTTTATGTGTTCTCTGGTCAGTGTAATCTCATGTTGAATATTAATTACACTGGTGCTATTTTATTTTTCCATTGACAAGATGTACTATTCCCGCCTGATGGTTGTTATCAATGATATTGCAGAATCAGTTTTCTTCATAGATAACGTGTTTTTCATTGTTTGTTCAGTACTAAAAGATCCAAGTCCCACAATTGAATTTAATATTCATTTGACATGTTAACTATATAATAAAGCGCTTCATGGGAGTAATTGCGGGATGATAAAATGTTTCCCTTATGCAACATGAAAGTATCACGATATGTATCGGTTGAGTATCGGTATCGTTCAGTGGTATCGGTATCGGTATCGGTATCGTAAAAAAGTCAACGATATGCATCCCTAGGCACAGATCAATATTAAGGCATCTAACCAAAAACAAATCTCAAAAACTGTTGACTTTGAGTCAAGGGTACCAGAAGTGGCAAAATGCTAACTTATTTCCGGGTTTTAGGACTCATTCCTGCACAACTCTATGGAGTTCTATGTAATATAGGTAACGTACTCTATCTAACGTAAGATCAATTCACTGTTGGTTTTTTGGTCTTTTCATGGACTTTGGGACTGAAAAAACAAAAGTATAGAATATCACTTTTTTCTTTAATTTGACATGACAAGAATAACAATGTTGACATTGTTTATTTTGAACATGACCGTCGCCCATTTTCATCCAGTCCTCTACCTTCCACAGGGCTGCAGGTCATCCTACCGGGCTACTTGCAGAGCAGCTTCATTCAGGCGGCTCTCAACTACATCGGCTGTAAATCTGAGGGCCATTTTGTGTGCCAAAGCAGCGACTGCTGGTGTGAGTGCAGCGCGGACTTCCCCCAGTGTAACTGTCCTCTCTCTGACCTGCAAAATTTGGAAAGCAACCTGCTGCGCTTCAGAGACAATCAGAGGGTTACTTACCAGGAGTTTGAAGAATCAGGTGAGTCAGTTACTAAGACATACCAAAATTGGCCCTGAAAATGTCAGCTTGAATAGTGCTTTCAATTAACCACAGGTGGAACATTGGCTTTCCAGCTTTTAAGAACGCTTGACTTTGGAGTACAGGCTATATTTTGATAAAAGATTATACATTTAAACTTGGAAATAAGAGTTTACTAGAACAAAAACACATGTCTGGTTTTTGTTCTAAGTGCATTCTTGGCTGTCAAACTCTGGCAGCTACCAGACGCTGAATCATGAGACCTTTCAGTCAATGTAAAATTATACTTATCAACTCCACTTATCGTTTCAAAAGTCTATTCCTACCAAAGTGCTCTTGGGAATCACAATATAAAGTTGAGGATAACCTGCTTTCTTGCCAAAAGTTATACAAAAAGTCCCTATTCAAATACTAGTAGAATTCATATTTAGCAAATAATTGTTCTTTTTTTCAGTATATTTAAAAGGGGAAAAAAAGCATATTACTCAAACCTCACCCAAAGATGTAAAATGTTAATCATTAAAGAAGAGCTGCAAATGTTGTTGCTAACCAGCTGGTATGCTAACTAGCAGGTCACATGAGAGTGGTATACAACCTCCTGTAGTGGACAGTCAATCAATATATTTGCTCAAGTATATTACTGAATTGCACATCTAAGGGAAAGACTGTACTTTTTATTTCACTACATTTATCTTACAACGTTATTAATACATCTACAAAGTAGAAGAGAAACAAGGGAGAAACACATTTATTTTAGAATATAATGATTTGCTATAAAAGACCAGCCACCTAGCTAGCCTAACGACTAAACAGTACATTTCAAATGTCTCTGCATTGGTTACTTTCATGCTAAATAATCAAAGTAAATGTTGCTGATTATACTAACTAAGGCTACCTCTACATACATTCTATCAAAAAGATTAACCAAGAGAGAATAATAATAATATGAGGATATGAAACAATAATGCAACATGTTGTGCTACTCCTCCGTGTATAGCTGCATTACAGTTAGAGCACCACTGAGCTTTTCATCATGGTTGCTGAATGTAACTCACCGCCACTGTGTAACTCTATTATTGATTGTGTGGCATTGATTTGAAGGCCCGCTATATGAAGCACACTGCTTCATTCACGGCTCCTATAGTAATCTCCCTCAGCTCTGTGCACTTTAAAAAGGCTTCTACACCCATAAATGAACCAGCAGTTACGAAAAGCCTGGCCTGCATCCAAGCACCTAATATTGTATGACTGTGTCGATATCGAGACAGTAGTATAACTACCCTTAACATACTGCCCAGAGAGTGAGTGGCCCGACTGGCCTTTACACAAAAATGAATCATATATTTGCAGCAACGCTGATTGCTGCTAAGTTTGAGGCCTTCTATAATAATCAGCATATAATGGACAGTGAAACTAAAGCGGCCCTATTATGCATGTATGGTCTATAAAGGCTGAAATCCCTGTATTCCTTCCAGAGGGACTTTCTCTCCCACACTCGGGCTAAAACGCCTCCATTGGACTCCTTTGTTTACTTTTGTAACATAGTGACATCACTACAGTATGTAACAATTGCACTCCTATTGGCTGGCGATCCCACACATTGTGAAAGGCTAAGGGCACGGACATCTCTAAGCGGTCGACCAATCATAAGAGAGCCGGCCAGCTAACCAATACATGTAGCAAATAAAGAGCTTTTTGAACATTAAAGCATGGAGACATGTCACAGTAGAGACACAAAATACAATTATGAACCTGAAAATGAGTATAACATTTCCTCTTTAAAAAACCTTGTCTGATAAATGTTGTCTCTTTTAAGATGTGGCATTTTTCTGAATTCTCCTTTCTGTCAGGAAAACGTTTTTCTGTCAAATAAATTGGAATGTTAGGGTTAGGGTTATGGACTACTTGCTTTGCAAACTATTTACATGCTGACAGTTGTTATATTTATTTGCCTAATTTCTATTTTCCATGCTGGTAATTTGATTACTTAATCTATCCAATATTAACTATAGGAAAACGTCTCGGCTTATATCAATTTCCGTGATTGCTGGCCTATATAAGTAGCGGCGTTGATTTGCATTTAAATGTAATAATTCCATCTGTAGCGCTTCATTAACTCACTGTCATTCAGCGGTTGGAGAATATTCCTCCTACCTCTTTGCCTTTATGCTATTTTCTCCTCTGCTTAAGAAACTCTAAGCCTTTTTAAAGTCCTCCTCCTTACTCCGAACTGTTTTTACCATAGCAGCTCTCTTAAGGGCGGATGCTTAGTGAAAAAACTTTGATCTCTACCCGAAACTTAACTGTGAGGGAACATTTTTTGAAACGTAAGAATCTAAGGAATTTCCTTTGAATTTCATCACTGGGAGCAATTCTTTGTACTAGGATTTGTATTATGAATAAGGCCCTGTAAGATTATTAGCCTGAACTGAGACTCATTAACAAAGATATGTGCAGCAACTCTGATGTTTTGTAGCAAAAATCAGAAGTAAGAACCTGCTGTTGGAACTTTATACCACTATAGTTCCACGGTAGGGTGTTTGATGTTAGATGAAAAACACAGTAGCATACTTTTAATAACACCCTGTGGTTTTAAATTAAAGGTAGGGTAGGTAAGAATGGAGAAACCAGCTCGAGTGCGCTAGAATTTGAAAGTACACAACCGAAAAAAATCTGCCCCTTCCTTCAGACTTCCTTACAGAGCCCCTCCTCCAACACACACGAACGCGCACATGACCAATGAGGGCACGAGATAAGTTTGTGCACGAGATGGAAGGCTGACAGGCAGGTAGGCCATCCAATTATCTGCCGCGGGCCGAGGCAGATAATTGGTCTTGCTTTTTACAGCGCCACGGCTTCCACAGATGAAATATTTGTATATATTTATTGTCAAAGCATTTAATTTATTCATTGCTATCGGGATGTTAAGAGCATTCCATGGAATATAACAAAAAGTGTTTCTGAAGTGAATTACCTACCCTACCTTTAAGTCTGTTTCTAAAAATAAAACAATATATAAAGAGAAAGTGGGTGACTGCACTGCTTTCAAGTGAGCAAATACTTTGTTGGACTGTAGGTGTAACACACATGTCAAATTCTTTCTTGAAACATGTCAGGGAACTTTTCAGACATATCTGTTTATGTTGGTCTATTTGACACATGGGATTTAAGTGAGCGTTGCTGAAGGCAGGAATTTTTCTTTCATTGCTATCATGTACAGTTGCCTCAAAGGTGGGTAGCAGTGTATGCTGGCAACAGGTGGTGATTACCATATATCTTTTTGCAGAAAGATAATTTGTTCTCTGAGACATCTGCGTTCCCGCTTCAAAAGAAAATCACAAAACATGCTTTTCCTGGCATGTTGCAGCTGTTATTTCTCCTCTGGAGCTGTTTGCTTTTCTGGGACAAACAATGAGGAGTTGACACTTTATTTTCCGGGGGTATTGTTACCCCGCGGCGCATCGCCACAGGCAGAGTTTTACTTATTCATGTCCTTTTTTTCCTCCTTCTACCAGAGGAGTTCCAAAGCTTTGTTGGGAAACTGCCAACCCATTACGCTGTGAACACATCTGTGGTGGAACACATGTGGAGGACGGACGGCAGCCTGCTGCAGCGCCACCGGCAGCTGGAGGCCGGCAGCAGCCAGCTCCTGGCCAAAGCCCGCCGCACCGTTAACAAGCTCTTCAGCCTCAGCAAGAGGTGCCGAAAACAGCCCAAAATAGTCCTGCATAGGGCGAGGTAAGAGGCGACACGAGAACAAGTGGGGGTGTTTGGGGGTGGTATTTATACCACAGCCTGTTAACCCAAGGTGCTCCCCAAAAGCTTATAATTATGAAAATGATTTATGCGCCAGGCACTGTGAGAAAGCAGCAGAGCAGGACGCTACTTATTAGAAGGCACTTGAGGCAGAGCAGTTGTGGAGTTTAAAAGGGCCCTATTTAGCTTCTTAGGGCTTTCCTGTAGTGTGTTATATAGGTTGTGTGCATGTAAAGGGTCTGCAAAGGCTAAAATCCCACAGTTCCACACACCCTCCGTTGGACTCCTTTGTTTACCTCCGTACAATTGTGAACACATTCTATATGTTAGGCTAATGTGCGGGATATTTCTAAAAAGTAAAGAGCTTTTTGAACATTAAAGCATGGAGACATGTCAACATATAAATATGAACCTGAACATTTGCCTAATATGTCTATCATCATAGAATATGACCGCCCAAAAGTGTTATTGACTACTTGCTCTGGAAGTATTAGACTATTTACATGCTGACAGTTGAATCTTTTTATTTCTATTTTCCATGCTGGTAATTGTATTACTCTATCCAATATTCAGTATGGTAGAATGGCTCAGCTTGTATCAAATTATGTGATTGCTTATTTTCTTTTAATGTTATGGCTGCTCTTTGCTCAGATGCACTCCCACCTTGGTAGTCTGTTTCAGCAGAGACCATGGTGATCTTTACTTCACTCAGATTTATGCCTCTCATGAAATCTATGTTGATAGCTATTTCTGGCAGGGGAATTAACTAAATGACATTATCAATCAACTCACTAGTTAAACGCAGGTACTGCCCCCTTAGTCCAGACTCCAATTATAAGTCTTTATTACACCCCTTATGCTTATAAAAAATCATTCAATAGTGGTTTAAGGTCACTGGGTAAGACATGTTTTGTGTTTTTACTTTTTCAAAATCTGCCTTAAAGGTTCATATCTGTATTTTATTCCTCTACTGTGACATGTCTCCATGCTTTAATGTTCATAAAGCTCTTTATTTTTCTCATACTGCCTGTGCTGCAGGACCTCTTTTCACCCTCTGTCTGAAACCAGAGCCCAGTCTGCTCTGATTGGTTAACTTGCTGGCTCTGTTGTGATTGGTCAACTGCTTAGAGATGTCCCGCTCCTTAGCCTATCCCATAAAATGTGTTGGAGCTCTAGTTAATAGAAGCACAAGTGTTACATAGTGATGTCATTATGTTACAGAAGTAAACAAAGGAGTCCAATGGAGGCGTTTAAAGTTAAAGCCTTTTATTGTCATTGTACACAGAGTACAACGAGATTCAGAGTGCAAATTCAGGCAGGGGGGGGGAGTGAGGGAGAGAAATTCCCTCTGGAGGGAACACAGGGATTTTAGCCTTTGCAGACCAATTACAACCACAACAGCCTAACACACTACAGGGAAGAGAAATGCACAAAAAGCATAATAGGGCCTATTAAATACCATTATCTGCTGCAAATGAAATATGACAATTTTGATGTATGAATGTGTGTATGTGTTTGTTTGTGTCTGTCATCACTACCCATCTGCACCACAGAAAGGGAATTCAAGTGATTAAAACATTCATTTTGATCTTATTTTGCTTTTGGAACGCCATCTGAGTTGGAGTTCTTCGAAAACAGTGTTTTTCCTGCACATCAAAACAACCAATTTTTTAGGATAATCTTTTCGGGCTAAACATTTCCTTTTTTTACATAATCACAAAACATGAAAGACTCAATGTGATGTATTTTGTATTAGCCAATTAATCCATGCTGTATCCCTAAAGTGTTTGACAAAATTCCATGTCTTCCTCAGGCCTCTGCACTTCTGGTTGAGCTACTCCCTCTCCATTTTATACTGCAGCGAGAACCACCAGGTTGGTGTTTACAGTGATGAGAGCCGCAGCTGCTCCTGCCCCTACTCCCACCCCCCATGCCAGGGCCTCATTCCCTGCTCTGTGGGCGACGGTACCCGCTGTGCCTCCTGCTCTGCGGAGAACAGGACCCGATGCTCCAGCTGTAACCTCGGCTTCACCCTCACCCAGGGAGCCTGCCGCCCTGCCGTGCCCGACCCTACGGACCCCTACCTGGGGTTAGAAAGCGACCGCGACCTGCAGGATCTGGAGCTGCGCTTCCTGCTCCAGCGGCGCGACCCCCGCATTGCTCTGCACGGCGTGTTCGTGAGCAACGACGTGCGGGTCAACACTTGGTTCGACCCATCGTGGAGGAAAAGAATGCTGCTCACCCTCAAGAGCAACCGGGTGAAGTCCAACCGCGTCCATGTGCTGCTTGGACTGGCGCTGCAGTTTTGCCTCACCAGAAACAGCACTCTGGAGCCGGCGTTGTCTCTGTTTGTGAATCCTTTCGGGGGCAGTCATTCGGAAAGCTGGACCATGCCTATAGGTCAGCACGGATACCCTGACTGGGAGCGAACCAAACTGGATATCCCCTTGGACTGCTATAATTGGACTTTAACTCTTGGAAACAGATGGAAGAGCTTTTTTGAAACGGTACATTTCTACCTGAGGAGTCGCATTAGGGACCCCGCGGGAGCCAGCAAGAACACCACGGTGTACTACGAGCCTCTGGAGGCCATCGAGCCGTTGAATAACATCGGCTACATGAAAGTGAACAGCATGCAGCTGTTCGGATACAGCGTGCACTTTGACCCCGAGGCGATCCAGGACCTGATTCTGCAGATAGACTACCCGTACACTCAGGGATCACAGGACTCGGCCCTGCTGCAGCTCGTGGAGCTGCGCCTAAGGGTTAACCGGCTCTCGCCCCCAGGGGCCCCACACGTGGATCTGTTTGCCTGTCTGCTCCGCCACAGGCTCAAACTGTCGAGCGCGGACGTGACCAGGATACTCACGGCCCTGCAAGCTTTCAGTGCCAGGCAACCAAACCACACGGAGTACGAGGCGAACAAACTGTGTAGTTAAGGGCGATTCTTTTGATGTTTTGTACTATTTCCTCTTGCCACAGATAGGCCTGTATCCTCTGTCAGCTGGATCCATTTGTGTCAAGTGTGTGGTATGTTGTTCAAGGCTTTGTTGTACATACACTATGTGCAATTAAATTTGATGTTTTCATAATTTCAGTGTAGTTTTATCGATTCAATCTACTGAAAACGTTTTTAAATCTCACATATTTCACTATAATATGAAACATTTTTGTCTAAATGTGCAATAATGAAAGGTTCCCATTTTGGGTGAATAGGAAAACATTTTCACTTAAAGTGGACCTCTCATGCTATATTTGAATAATATATTGTAGGGCCATACCTATATAAGGTATATTTATACGTTTTCTTTTTCAAAATACCAAACAGATCATGCATTTTAGCCATGCCTCATTTCGCTCTATTTTGCTCTCCTCCACCCTGTCTTTGCATGCGCTGCAGCTGACCACGCCCCCCTGCAAAGGAGGGGGCCGAGTTACGAGCGTCGTGTTACCATGCTGTTACCATGCCACGGCAACCTCTCATTCCCCTGATAGGTCAGCTCCTCCGTCCTGACGTCAGAGAAATGGTCAAATCTGGATCAGTCTGTATCAGATCCATTGCAGCCCCGTTTTTAGAGATTTGGGTATGGAGGAAAAGAGAGAGGGTTGTGTTTTCTGACACTTGGTGAGTTCCCTGGAACACCGGGGACACATATTCATGTATAAAAGACGTACAAAAGTGCATTTTGCATGATAGGTCCCCTTTAAAAAAACTTTTTGGAGACTTTAATATCAGAATGAACAAAGAAAATCCCTTTTGGGCAAATCTGATAAAGAAAGTCAAATGTGGCCCTAATCCTCTTCCGTAAAAAAGTGTATCTTATTAAAGTCAAACGTCTTTAGAGTTGGATATCTTTTTTTATCGCTCCATAAATCTAATATATAACAGCCATTACACATTTCGCCCTGTTTTATAACTACTGAAGTGGAGATTTCCGTCTCAGACTATGAGAACATCTCTTTTTTCCAGCCTTTATAGATATGTTTTGCAAAATCACACATTGGGAATACATATTTTACTAATATGTATCAATATGAAACTTCCTGTGTCCCCACTTCCCCAGACAATTATTTGGTGTTAAGATGTTTCGGTCAATTGTGCGTGTGAGGAATAATCTAATGCTAACTTTTGGTGATTTCAAAAGAAATCTAGTCATGCAAATAGAGAACGTAAATAAATAAACACCTATTTGATTTTCCATTAGTCTAAAAGGAGAAATGCAAGACAGCCCAACATTCAAAATGTACCAGTGTATTAAAATAACCATGATGTTGCCTTTAGTGCCTAGCTTTATTACTCTGAACTGTGTGGGGGTTGGTATGATCAGATTTGAATGGCATTGGCCTGACAACATGAAAAGACAACCTCACAACTGCCCTTAAGTTTTGATTTAAATGTGGCCAAACTGTCAGTGCATGTCATGACATCCCCTTTTCCAAATTTGGCGAATTCAATCCAGTGACCAAAACACACAACAATCCAGAAATCTCTCATGGGAAAAAACTACTTCTAGCCCATCGCTCATCAGAATCAGAATCAGAATCATGTTTAGTGCCAAGTAGGTTTACACATACGAGCATTTTGCCTTGGTATATATGGTGCATACATAAACAAAGTTAATGAACATAAATTGTAAGAAAAGATCCACAAATATAAGAACTCTAAAAAACGATTTTTAAAAAAAAACGATTTTAACATAAAAATATAGACATACAAAAAAAAACAGTTATAACATTTCCTATGTTTCCATGTCTATAATGCATGACAAATATAGTCATACCACATAATAATATGATTATAACACTGTATAATGCATTCAGATTATAGGTCCATCTTGTCAATGTTTGCTTGAAAAACGGCATTAAATCTAAGTGACCAGCAACTATGAAGTAATATGAGACTAGACTTTATAAGTCAATATAAATTGCATGATAATGAATGCTAATAATAGGACTTTTAGATACAACTTCAAGTTCTATAAACAGATAATTAAACATTGAACTATAGTAATGCCTATACACATATCATAGAAAGGGTTACAAATATTGTTTACATTTCATACAGAAACTTGAATTTGTAAGTAAAATGTGTAATTGTCATTGGTTTAAGTATTATTATAGACATTTATAAGTACTTTAAAATATAATCTTTCCGCATATTATGCTTTATAAGTATGTTAACAATGCATTATACACATCATAGAAAGGGTTTCCAATAATGTATTAAAATCATGTAATATTTGAATCTGTTTTACACAAAACTCCAGTATGCAGCACAATATACTCACATAGCCTTATCCCACTGGAGAGTCTCGGTGGTGTGTGCTGTGTTGTTTTAGCCCATCTGAAGCCTCAGAAGACAAGGTCTCCATTCTCTATTGAGGGAATAGCCTCGGCACAGATTACTAAGTATATAGTGTGAGAAGAGAGGGTCGGAGCAGCCTGCCTCTGTTCCTCCAAGTCCCCGTCCGCCATTCACAGTTACTGTGATAGATGAGCTGGGGCGCCGCAGAGACATGCCCAGCATCAAACAACAGTAAGCTGGGTATCAGTGACAACTGGATAGTACTCTCGCCCGGGGCCGGAGCGAGTCGGACCCTCAAAAGAGTGACTCTGACCAAAAGGGAAATCAGCTTTAATCCCCTAAAGGCTGTCAACAGTGGAGCCTCAGGCGAGCGGCATGCTGCGGCTTTGATTAGACGAGCATCTAAAGAGCTCGCAGCAAAGACGTAGCTTCATCAAGATTCACCTGACATGTTTCTCCTGAGATTAAAGCAGACACAATTTGCTCTGATGCTATCGTTCAGAATGAATATGAAGAGGTTGTTGATTTTAGATGAGATGCTGAGCATACCACCATGACTGTCATTCAGATTAATGATGCATCATGCTGCAGTGTTACAGTAAAAAAATAAAAAGAGAATGTTTAATCAGTATATGTGGCACAGAGCAGATTGTAAAAGCTTAAGAATTGGGCTCAGGACGTTCATTTCATTACAAGCATCGTCCATCGACTGCCTTTGAGCTTAAACATTGATTTGACAATTTAATTGACCAATTTTAGGACACAGCTGCGATATCTCCAGGCTGCAATGCAAGTCTTTACGGAGCAATCAGACATCACAAGAGCATAGAATTGGCAAGTTATAATGTTAGAGTATCACTTTAAAAATCCCTTATACAACCCTGCCTCTCGTTTTTTAAAGTTATTTTCACTTTATAGTTTTAGCACTCGAAGCAGTTGCTGCAGTAGTATTTAATATGCTGAAATCTTCCAACTTGTCTGGAGTGTTTTAATTGACTGCAGGGGAAAGTTTGTGTGAGAGAAAAATATTGAATCTGGATCACATCCCAGTAAAGGGTAATTCTCGTGGTGAGCATCTGGTTTGATTTTTTTTTATATTTTTAAAATATTCTGCATCTGGGTATTAAAAACGTGGTGAAGTGTTATTGGAAGCAGTCCAGTGTACCTCTAAGGTGATACATAATAAAAGGCAAGAGAGAGTTTGTTATTAGGAGCAGCTCTGGTTTACAGGACATATTTTCGGTTGAACTTTTAGCTAAAACATAAAAGATCGTCCTAGACTGAATTTCGTTCCGAGAGTTAATTTAAAACTCTCTTTTTATTTGTTATTGATTTGGGTAAAAATGTAACTTACATTAGCATATTACATAAGAAAGCATTATCCCAGAAAAAATTACTAAGACCAAGTTTTACTTTCTCTAAGGAGTTACCTTTAATTGATGCCAAAAAGCATCTGAGCAGACCTTTTGAAAGCTTCACCAAAACACTAAGGATTATGTGTACAAAGGAAAGAGGCAGAACAAGGATACAGAATAAGCTCACGCTTTTTGGGAAGTGGTTTAATAATTGTTTTGCCAAAAGCTAGATGAGCAAAATGTTGTCTAATGACTGTATATGCCTTCATCTAGGAGGTTAGCTTAGGTTAGCACAAAGACTGACGTGTCATCATGACATTTCACGTTTTTTTGCATTAAAAAAACATGATGTACTATGTTGATAAGTGTGCTCTAGAATTACTGGAAGGTCGACTTTGTTACATTTGGAGAAAGTCAGGCTAGCCTGTTCTTCTGTTTCCAGTCTTTTTGCTGAACTAAGAGAGTTTAGTAAGAGTTTAGCTAACAGTTTGCTAGCATTAGCAAACAGATATTTTTGGTGTCAAAACAATGTCATTTTCTTTTAGAGCTGAAATTGGTATTTATGTCAAGAATCACTAGTGTGTTATTGATAAATCACCTGGGGATTGTATTTTTCCAAAAGGAAATAACTACATTAGCATATTCATATAACAATGACATAGACAAAATTAGGCCGAAAGGCAACTAGCATTAACTTTATATTTATGAAACAGATGTGGAACCAATCTTCATATCTAATGGTTTAATATTACATTTTATTACATGGCTTAGTTGAAAACTCAATTCTGATTGGTCAATTCAGAAAACGTGACACGTTGTTAAGCCAGTAGTGAAGACGGCTATCAAGCGGTTATTGATCGTTGTTAAGGACGCTCACATCTTCAGAAAGAAGTCCGGTTGATTGAACTGTATACAGTTTGGTCGAAAAGCAAACTGCATGCAGTTTGCTTTTCAAACTGGGACAAGAAAACAGCGGAGAAGTATCGGGGCAGAAACCCTCCTTTTTACGCAACGGTCCAGACATAGACATCAAACGGCAAAACATATTCAGTTGCCAGTTACTTTGGCATTAGGGCAGGGATATCTAGATACTTTCCAAGGTTTGACATAATGAATTGTGCTACTTTTAAAGCAAGCAACAATGTTTTAAAATCTGTAATCAAAAAGGTCCGCAAAAACGCTATCGAAGCAGTTCCTGCCGTTGCTACTATAGTTCAAACAGTAACAACGGACTATTTTTCTTAGCGGATGCATGTCATTTTAAATCAATAATAGCCTACTATCAATAAAAACATTTTCAAAATCTATAAAAGCATTTAAATTAATATTGGGAGTCATATCGTTGCTTTGTTGAGAATGTAGCCTTGTAATAAGCGGGATAATGTGCAGCGACTTGGTCATTATTGTCATTATGTGCTGATCAAGATCCCTC